AGTTCGAGAATTTTTTTCTCGTTATTCTACATTATAAGTACCCAAGGAAGCTATATACATCAAAAACTGGATACTAATAGCTGTTTTGCGAAATTGAGAGCAATTTCAAATCTGTTCAGTTTTTTTTTTATACACCCTGTATAATTAATGAACGTACATGGGTATAGGAAATTTCTAAATTCTTTTTGTTCTAGGCCTTTTTGTTGTGTACCTTATGCAGGATCACGATTAATAATTATTTTGTGCTGCTATTGTTTTACATGCATCTACTAAAGATGCGTAGGGCAATGCGTAGATTGATGCGTAGGGCAATGGCATGAAGTGTTTGGTGCAGAATTTTAATCCCTCACAACTAATTGTGATATATTTTAAAAACCACGTTTCAATAGAGGATGTTTTTGTTTCGTCGTTGGGCCATTTCTAACTAGTTTTGTTCAAACCCCGTTCAAACTCATGCTTGTGTTTCTTGAATAACATCTTTGATGAAGTTTTCTGGCTTGCGGCCTTAGACCTAGCTGAGGTAAATGACCAAACTAAGTAAGAAATGAAGTTGAAATGTAGGATGCTATGATATTTGTATATCATGAAACATTTAGTATCTCAGTATTTATATCGCACAGTCAAAGGATGCATGCATACAGCTTCTCTTTTGGTCACAAACAACAACATTACAACAACAATTATTTATTTCAAGTTTACCCAGTTTTTAGATTGAGAAGCTCTTTCTTCAAGTTTCGTCTGTAAAACTGGACCAACGCCACGACAAAAGTCTTGAACTTTAGTTTTTGTAACAGCGAATTCCTTCTCACTTACACACGGTCTCACTATTAAAACAGAATATAATTTCCAGGAAACGTTCATGTAAATTAACTTGTACGTAGTCGTCGTACGTACGAGTGTCGATATACATATATGTAATCAGTAAAGACTATATGGTTTGCATATAGTATACATTGAAGAGAAGACAGATTCAAAGGTAGATCTATCAGACTATACAGGGTGTATAAAAAAAACTGATTGAAATTCCTCTCAATTTCGCAAAACAGCTATTAGTATCCAGTTTTTGATATTTAACAAATATAAAACATTTTCCATGTTGATATACAGTTTTAGTATTTTTGCACAAGTGAACATAACAAATCCTACTTACAAGTTGATTGGTCAAATTTGACGTATATAACAAAACCGAAATTTACAAAATGGCGGCTAGCCGTTTTGTGGAAGTTACTGATAAAGAAATAAGGGAAATTAAAATAAATTCAGTCTCTAAAAACACAAAACAATTGTGTAAAAATACTAAAACAATTATTCACCTCAGGCTTGGTGATTATCGGGGAATATTCACCTCGACTTCGTCTCGGTGAATATTTCTCGATAATCACCTCGCCTTCGGCGAATAATTGTTAAATATCAACACGAGTGGAAATTGGGAAAACGAGAAATTGTGTGGAAACACGACGCCTGACAAAGAAACATCAAGAAAGAAATTTTCCGACGTTTCTGTGTTGACATTGAGTTATATGCAACACGACTCTTAGCCAATCAGCGCTCAGAATTTACAAATGCTATATTATAAATATATATAGCTTCTTTGGGTATTTATAATGTAGAATAATGAAAAAAATTTCTCGAACTCAAATTTTGTAAACCAGGGAGGTGTGTCTTTTCAAACAAACTAGAAATGGCTTGCGCACGAGATTTAAAAGCTTTAATCGTATTTTGAGTTAATGGGTGAAAAATGCACGAACTTTCAGACAATTTGCTTCAGTTGAAGCCATTTAACTATTCACTCAAACTTATATTTTTTCCTAAAAAAGCTTTGCATGCTTAATTAATGGTATGCAAATTAGGTAAAGGCGTTAATAAGCATGCAAAAGGCTTTTTTAGGGAAAAAATGAATAGTTAAAGGGGCTTAAACTAAAGCAAATTGTCTGAAATTTTGTACAGCAATTAAAAACCCAACAAATTTTCCATCCATTAACTCAAAATACGATGAAACTTTTACATTTCGTGCGCAAGCCATTTTTAGTTTGTTGGAAAAGAAACATTCCCTGATTTTCCAAAGTGAGTATTTTATTTTTTTTCATTATTCTACATTATCGGTACTCAAGCATATAACAAAAACTTGATACCACGAGCTGTTTTCCGAAATTGGGTACCCGGACATTTTGCTGAAAGACACTAATTTGCCGAAAGACATTTTGCCGAAAGACATTTTGGCGAACGGACGTTTTGCCGACGGACGTTTTGCCGAATGGACAACTTGCCGAAAATAGGGATGTTATTTCGTTTCGTTTTGGACTGTGACTCATTTCTCAACTGTGTAATTCTCAACCATTGTGTAAAATAACCATTATATATGGTCATTAGCAGTGCATTATGCGTCATTAGCAGTGCATACTGTCTGTAAACAGTGTATTTTGTGGACGCGAGACCGCCGTTGTTGCCAGAGGCGAAGCCGAGGGCAACAACGGCGGTCGAACTGGTCGAGGGTAGGGGTGCACCGGATTTGGAATTTTCAAATCCGGCCGGAACCGGATTTACCGGATTTGGACAAAAATTCCGGCCGGATTTGAGATAAACCGGTAATGGGGACAATTGGGGATAAATCAGTATTCAAAATGGCGGTTTATGTTTTTTACTATTTTTAGTTAGTGTCAGTTTAGATTTTTGATTGTGTTTAAACCTTTTTTAAATATATTTTTGTTAATAACTTAATATTTTATAATAATATAAGTGTTTTTTAAACTTCAAAGCTGCCAAATTGATGGTTTATCCCATTCTTGGTGAATTTTTTAAGGTGAAAACAGAAATTTAAATCCGGCCGGATTTTCTCCAAATCCGGCCGGATGCCGGAAAATTCGTTAAATCCGGTGCACCCTAGTCGAGGGGCCACAAAACACACTGCTTTCCCGAGGTTTCAGTAAATAAGTGTTTTGTTATATGTATATAAGTGCCAAAGTATGAATAATTCACCAGTTATTGGATGGAACCTAATTTGAAACCAAAACTGGATAAATAGAACGCCGTAAAGTCCGTAAATGTTTAGTAAAAAGTTAAGTTTTAAAAATGAACTTTGGAACTTCATGGTTGACACGCATGCATATTGCACCCATTTTATTATTGACCGGTCAATAAATGTTTGATTGCGGACCGGTTGCCGAACATGACGTTTTGTGGACCGGTGTCACAAGAGATTCGCCCCCCCCCCCCAGAAGATTCGCCCCCCCCCTCTCAAAAGGGGGGGGGGGGCGATATTCCTAGGATATTCGCCCCCCCCCCCGGGCGAATCTCCTAGGAATATCGCCCCCCTTTGGGAATTTCGCCCCCCCATATAAATGTTCAATTTTTTATCTAAAAACAAAACGATTGCAAGTTGAAAAGATTTATTGTGTGATTTATTTATTTATTACAAGGAGACAAAATTACATACACATTTTACTAGTCTTCTTAGCAGCTGGTGGTGTGCACAGTCTGCATAGCCACTCATTTGAGGTACTTAGGCTAGTGTCATATTCTACACATCTAAAGTGGAACCATCACAGAGATCGCATAAAATCATGTTGTCGTATTCTTCTGGCAGTTTACATTCACATAACATATTATAAAAACAATAGCCGCCACAGTAATCACTTGCTAACAATAAACTATAGGATTAGTAAAAAATCTATGGAATGTGTTGGGAAGCGTATCGACTATTGTCCGTTGAATCGCCAACTTTCCGTGTCAGTGATGTAACCTTGATTCTTCACTTCCGCAAAGAAAATTGCATTATATATGTGGTGTGGTTTATTTATTTTATGAGAATGTAAATCTGCAAAACTAAAAGCTTTCTTGTCTTTTTTGAAACGTATATTATTGGATTATTGCCTATTCGCAAGTTCTACCCTTCGCTTCTGAGATTTACAAACTACAGTATATTGAAATAATGCAAGTAAAAAATAGTGACAAACCATACATTTTCCGATAACGACAAAACGTGGATGCAAAACAATACCAATAATTACAATAACCACCACGGTGATTAATACTTTTTAACAATGAGTTTAAGGATTAACACTGAAAATGCAAAATATGCATGGTGTGCTGTGAAGCGTCATAAGTCCTATTGAGTATTCATCTACTGTAACTGTGTAAAGCCCTTTCGATACATGTAATTGTAAATTTGTATTCTTACACGCAGGGCTTGAAATAACGTTCCCAAAGTTCCCGATCATGGTGATCGGCAGTCGTGACTTTCCCTGCTTTTTTTGGAAACCGAAACCCTGCTTTTCCGCCGATCATAAGCAATTCCTTGCCGATCATTGATCGGTGATCGGTTGTTATTTCAAGCTCTGTCTTAACAATTTTGAATTGATACTGATTTCAAATGATTAAAGATATGTAATAATTATCTCATGCAACTGTTAGGAAGGGCGAAATTTTGAACGGAGGACGAAAATCCTAAAGAAAAGGTGAAGTTTCTAAAGGGGGGCGAATTTCCTAAAGGAGGGCGAAATTCCTAGGATTTTCGCCCCCCTGGAGGGGGGGGGCGATATTCCTAGGAATTTCGCCCCCCGGGGGCGAAAATGTAGGGGGGGGGGGCGAAAATCCTGGGACACCGGCATGTGACAGGGTTTTGACCAATCGGCAAACAGAAAAATTGAACTTTGACACGAACTATATAACAATGATTATTGACTATTTTGGTAGCTTGTTTGTGCAGCGGATGACTCATTTGTTAGGAATTACGTTAGGTTACGGACGACAACGACGTAAGGACGACGTAAGCAAATTTCACTTCGAGAATCATGGAACGAAACTACTTCACTATGACATCAAAATCGACAATGACTTTATTCTTTAATCACAGAAACTTTGACCGTGTAAGCGAACCTTTAAAGTTCAGAACTCAAGATATCTATATTTTCGGCAAGTTGTCCGTTCCTCAAACTGTCCGTTCGGCAAAATGTCCGTTCCGGCGTTCGGCAAAACGTCCGTCGGCAAAATGTCCGTTCGGCAAAATGTCTTTCGACAAAAATCAAAATGTCTTTCAGCAAGGTGTCTTTCGGCAAAATGTCCGGCCACTGAAATGGAGAGCAATTTCAAATCTGTTCAGCTTTTTTATACACCCTCACCCTGTATACATTTCACATCAATGAGCACAATTTACTCGTCATTAGAAGCGCTCGTAATCAATAAATTTTTGAATAATTTCGCTTCAGTTAAGAGTTTGACCAAATACCACAGGATTTCGTCTTGCACTAAATTGGTACGTTTCCTATTCTGTGGCTGTGTACATGCAATCGGACATTATTTCAGAAAGTATTAGACAGCTCGTACTTATTTTCCGAGCAAGATACCCAAGAATATAGAATGTGCGAGAATAAACTCACAATTGTAGTAGACAATTCTTTCTTTTCCTGTGTTTTCTTTATTTTTTGCCCTCCCGCGCCCTTTAATATTGAATAGGTAAGTATCATAGGCATACGAGACAGGGGGCAGGAGGAGGCAACTGCCACCCGATTTTCCCTCGCATGTAAAATCGTCTGGTATTAGACAGAATAATTGTAACAATTAAGTACCGGTAGAATATAGTTGTCATAATGTCATTCTCATGATAGACTGTTTGGCGCAAGTAAATTTAACAATAATTATTGAATGAGGTTGAGCAATGTTATCATTTGAATATTATATCAATATTGTTGAATATTATGTCAAAGCTCCTTATTTGGTCAGCTATTGAGTTGATATGATGATTTCACAGTTGGCTGTTAGCCAATCAGAAACCATGAATTTTTAAAATAAATAATAATATCTATTATAATATATTAAATAAAAAAATAA